AATATAAACTATCAGAGTTATTACAACATAGAATGTCAGAGCTGGGAAGGCCTTTAGAACAGGGAATGTCAGAGCTGGGAAGACCCTTAGAACACAGGATGTCAGAGCTGGGAGGGCCTTAGAACACAGGATGTCAGAGCTGGGAGGGCCCTTAGAACACAGGATGTCAGAGCTGGGAGGGCCCTTAGAACACAGGATGTCAGAGCTGGGAGGGCCCTTAGAATAATAGGGAGGGTTAGCACTTATTTAGTCTTTTTATGTTTGCAAAATGCCTTGCATTTTACTATATTTCATTCTCACAACAATCCTATGAGATAGGTACTGCTATTATCTCCATTTTACAGATGAGGAAACTGAGGCACATAGCAGCCAAATGACTCGCTGAGGGTCACAACAATTAGTAAATGTCTGAGGCAGGATTCCAACTCCGGTCTTCCTGACTCCAAATCCAGCACTGACAGTTCCCTTAGAACATAGTCCCAGAACTGGGAAGGATCCTAAAGCCAGGTATCCTCCTACACTGCTCTCCACTGGGGGTGTGACCAGGGCAGAGAACAGTTAGACTATCTTTGGTCCCAGAAGCTCTGCTTTTATTAATGCAGCCTACTTTTTCGTCTGCTGCGACAGTCAACTCATACAGTCAGTCAGTCAGTCAATGAGCATTTAGTATCTTCTAGGTGCAAGCATTGTGCTGGAAGCACTGGGGATACAAAGCAGAGCCTGTAACCCACTCACACCCCAAGCTTGCCTGTTTCCTTGGAGATCTGCTTTCTAGACTTCCTTCCTCCTTCTCCTCCCCAGAATAGAATTTCAAGGCCAGGAATCTATTTTTTTTATTTTTAGGCAGTTGGGGTTAAGTGACTTGCCCAGGGTCACACAGCTAGTAAGCATCTGAAGCTGGATTTGAACTCAGGTCCTCCTGACTTCAGGACCGGTGCTCTATACACTGCGCCACCTAGCTGTCCCTCCAGGGATCTATTTTTTCTGAGTCTAAATAACTGCTGGCTATGTGACCCTGGACAAGTCATTGAACATTTCAGAGCCTCGGTTTTGTCATCTGTAAAATGGAAATATTCAGAGTACCTACCTCAGGGGGAGAATCCAATGAGATCAAACGTATGTAAAATTCAGGATTTAGGAATTCTGAGCTTACAATTTTATTATTCTGAATCTAGGATTTCATTATCCTGGGCCTAAGTTTCTGTGATTCTCAGCTGAAGACTTAAGAATTCCGTTTCATGATTTTGCTCAATAATTCTCTTCAGCGACGGTACCAAGGCCCGTGAGAAGCCAGAGCAGAGGCCGAAGTTAGGCAAGAGAATGGAGTAGGGGGCTGACCCCAAGATCTCTGGGATAACCAGGGCTCACCCGTCTCTCCACATCCACAATCCTCATTAAAAAGCAAAACGAGTCGCTCCCCCTCTTGCGGAAAACTTGGGAGGCTCGGCTCCAGCGTATTAGGCCTGAATTAATTAAGAGGGGATTGTTCCCATTCTGCTAATTAAGCTGAAATATGCAATAAACCCAGGCAATGAACCCAACTACATAGACACCCTCACACGGGCACACACGCATGCACACACACATTGACTGAGGCTGGGGGGGTGGGGTGGAGGATGAGGATTTAATTAAAAGAAGAGCCCATGGCATGGAGGGGGTAGGGGGCAAGGAGGGGAGTTGGAGGTTTGGGGGCTCTGGGGCTTCCCCCCACCTGCTTTCCTACTACATCATTGCCTTTGGACCTCAGCTTGTCTGTTTGCACTGGGTGCTGTACCCGCTGAACTACCATGAGCAAAGTCTCCAGCAGTGGGATGGAGAGAAGGACCAAACTGCTAGTGACAGGTGGTAAGCATTTGAGAAATGGTTAGTCCCCAGTCCAGGGATAGCAGGGACTCTGTGTGGGGTCTGGGTCAAGGCTCAGTACCTCCCCAGCTTGGATAAGGGACACTGTTGATGATGATAATAAGAGCTAACTTTGAGGTTTGCAAATATCATCTCATCTGATCCTCACAACAACCCTAGGAGGTGGGTGCTATTATTATCTCTGTTTTACAGGTAAGAAAACTGAGGCAGAGATCAAGTAACCTGTCCAGGGTCACACAGCTAGTAGGTGTCTGAGGCAGGATTTGAACTCAGGTCTTCCTGACTCCAAATCAAGCTCACTGTCTCTACCACGTAGTCTTCCTGCAGTAGACAGAAAGTCAATGGGGATTCTTTCCATACCTGGAACCAGGAAAGAAGACCCAGATTTGAGTCCTGCTTCTGAAAAATACTAGTTGGGCATCACTTGGCCTCTTCTCTGAAACTCAGGTGCCTTACCTGTGAAATGGGGACAATAACAGCCAGGTTGTTGGGAGGATCACTAGAGGCCAAGGACTTTGCAAACTTCGGGGTGCTACATGAATATGAACCATTCAACTAGGAAGCATTTATTAAACGTCTGCTATGTGCCCAGAGTTGGGCTAAGTTTGCTCTCATCTTTGTGTCTGGTGGAGTTCAGACAGAAAGTCCTATAATTCTCATTGTTCCTGGAAGTTTCCTCATCATTAGAACACTTTTTGGCAGTCTCTGGGTCTACCTCGTTGTGGGACAAAGCATATCCAATACATGTAAAGGGAATCCCTTGGGAGGGCTTGGTCAGGGGCTCTTATTCCAGAATCTAGGGGTCCTTTTGCAGAATTCAGAACGTCTTGGGAAAGCATCTTCTCCCTTACTTCAGCTGGATTGGAAATGTGGCTTTGAAGAGCAAGACTGGATTAAGGTAAGACCCACCTAGATCTGCCTTTCCGTGGGGTATGAGGAGTGGCTTCAAGGGAATGAGACCCCTGCCCACTACTCTCACAGACCTCTGGTCTTGAAGGCTCACAAAGCTCTTTCCCCAACACCCCCTCATTATGTTGTAAGTGTGGTTGGAACCATTTTATAACAGAAAGTCAGAGTGATTTCCCTTGTGGTCAGAGGAGCTGGTAAATCTTGAAACCAGAACTTTAAACTCAAGTTGTCCTCCATCCTGGGGCTTAGACCTTGTTTCTTCATAAGGGGAAATTGGGGCAGGCAGATGGCACCATGGATAGAGCTCTGGGCCTGGTCCTTGAGTTCAAATCCAGCCTTGGACACTCAAGACACTTACTGGCAAGTCACTTCACCTCTCTCTGCCTCAGTTTCTTCATTTGTAAAATGGGGATAATAATAGCATCTACCTCCCAGAGTTGTTGTGAGGATTAAATGAGATAACAACTGTAAAGTGTCTACCTAGCCCAGTGACTGGCACACAGTAGGTGCTATGTAAATGCTAGCTAGTATTACTAATCCATAAATGTTTATTAATTACCTACTATGTGCCAGGCACAGTGCAAAGCACCAGGGATATAAACAGAAGCAAAAGATAGTCTCTGCCCTCAAGGAGCTTACAATCTAATGGGAGGGACAAGGAAACAAATCTATACAAAGTAAGTTACATAAAGGTAAATAGGAAATAATTAACTGGAGGGAAGGCACCAAAATTAAGAGAAATTGGGAAAGGCTTCCTGGGGAAGGTGGGACTTTAGCTGGAACTCAAAGGAAGCCAGGAAGGTCAGTACTCAGAGAGGAGGAGGGAGAGCAGCCCAGGCATGGAACGCCAGAGAAAATGTCTGGAGCCAAGAGACCGAGTGTCTTGTTGGTGGAACAACCAGGGCATTGTCACCGGATGGAAGAGTACATGTCAGGAGTAAAGACTGGAAAGGTAGGAGGGGGCTAGGTTACAAAGGGCTTCGAATGCCAAACACAGCACTTTGGATTTGCTCCTAGAGGCAATAGGGAGACATGGGAGTTTACTGAGGAGGGGAGTGACATGGTTGGAATTTTAGGAACATCACTTTGGACTGAATGGAGGATGGGTTGGAATGGGGAGAGACTTGAGGCAGGTAGAGACGCCAGCAGGCTACTGCAGTAGTCCATGGTGATGAGGGTCTATGCTAGAGGGGTGGCAGTGTCAAAGAAAGAAGGGGGCAAGTTCCAGAGATGTTGCAAAGGTGAAATCGAAAGGCTTTGGCAACAGCTTGGATATGGGGGTGGGGGGTGGGGAGGAGAGAGAGGCAGAAGTCCAAGCAGATTCCTAGGTTGGGAGCCTGAGGGAAGATGCTGCTGCACTCCACAGCGATGCGGAAGGTGGGAGGGAGGCGGTTTCAGGGGAAAGAGAAGGAGTTCAGTTTGGACGTGTTGAGTTTCAGACTTCTCTTGGACTTCCAGTCTGAGATGCCTGTAAGGCAGCTGGAGATGCGAGGTCGGTGGTTAGCAGAGGGGGTGGGCAGGAGAGAATCATCAGCATAGAGATGGTCGTGAAGTCCTGAGATCACCAAGTGAAGTGTAATAGTGGAGAGAGCAGGGCAGACCCCGGGACAGGAGAGCTGGGGTTAAAAGGTGTGAGCTGGATCATTGCTATTATTGTTGCCGTCGTTATTACGCCTGCGCCAACGCTCTTAAGTTCCATTTATCAATGGTCCTCAGGTCTCCTGCGCCGCTCCCCGGGGGGACCTGAACTTCCCCCACCTGTCTTTGGACACCCAACAAGGACACTTATCACGGAAGGATGACCAACAGCATGGAATGGAATGGAATGATAAAAACGCAGGGCAGCATTTCCAATCTTCGAGGCCGAATCCAAAACAAACATATTTGGCATTTAGAGCCCGTCGCAATCTGGCTCCAGTCTACCTTTTTAGGCTCATTACGCGTCCTCCCCCTCCTGCATTTTCATTTCCAGACAAACCGGCCATCTTGTTACTCCTTTTACGATCTTCCACCTCCCACCACTAAGGCTTTGCACAGGCTGTGCCCCTGTGCCAGGAATGTTCTACTTTCGCGCCTCCTTCTCTTGGAATTCCTAACTCCCTTCAAAGCTCAGCTTGTCTTACTTCCTACGTGAAATGCTTCCTGTTCCATCGAGATGTTAGGGCTCCCTCCCCTCCCCCAAACTGACGGGTGTGTATTTTGTATTTACGTACCAAGGTAGGTGCTGTTTCCCAACGCAGCCCTTCTCTTGCGTCCCCAAGCCACCCCCATCCAAAGCAGAATGTGAACTCCTTGAGGCAAGGGACAGGTTTTTGCTAGTTTCCTGACCCTTTGAACAGCACCTGGACTATTCGCTACTTCAAGGGAATGGAATTAAATGACAGGAAGCCAAGGTAACTAATCTCTTAGATTTTTTAGGGTTCTAATATCACTGGGGAACACTGAAAGTATATGGGGGAAGGGGGAAAGGAGGAAGGCACTTGGAATGATAGGAGATAACAGGGTAGATGAAGGAGGTGTCTAGTTAGAGTGTTAAGTTTGCCATAAGCTACAGGGTTAGAGTTCAAATCCTGTGTGAGTTTAGGCAAGGCCACTGAGCCTGGTTGAGGCCGTTTCCTCATCTGAAAAATGGAGGCGATAATTCTCCTTCTACAACCACAGGGCTGTTAAGTGCTTTGTAAAACTCTGCCAGCATTACAAGAGTTATTATTATAATTATTATATTAATATAATTATAATTATTATTAATTGAAGGGAAAATGCTAGAGGGGCCAGCCTTTTGTAATGACTTCTCTGCCCAGGATACACACCCTTATTCCTAAAATATAATTAAAGGAGGGTTTCTTAATCTGGGACCCACGAACTTGTTTTCTTCTAATATTGGAGAACTGTATTTTAATGTAATTGTTTTCCTTTGTAATTATTTGTGTTTTCTTTTATGCATTTAAAAATGTTATTCCGAGAAAGGTTTCATTAAACTGCCAAAGGGGGCCCAGGACACATGAAACCCTAACTTTCAGTCAGCCTGGCAAGAGTGGACAGCATTTTGGACTTGGGGTCAGCAGGACCTGGGTTCGAGTTCCATGTAGTAGCTGTGTATTCCTAGGTAGGAACCTTTTGAACTTCAATGTCCTCATCTGTAAAATGGGGGTAACAATGGCACCTACCACCTCAGTTTTGTTGTGAGGATTATATGAGACAGTGTATGCAAATGCTTTTGTCAACATTAAAACACTCTTGGGATCTATACCCAGAGTCCCCTGAAAATTTCTGCTGGAAGGATTGAGGACAGGATGAAGAAGATGAAGGGGGTAATTGGGGCTCTGAAACACTCAAATCCCACAAGGTTTATTTTTATTTTATTATAAAAAAATACAGATTCCAAAGTTGGGTGGTGACAGGTGGTAGGGAAGGGGCCAGGAGTGGGCGATCTCGCACAATGGGCTGAAGGGAGAGGCAGAGGGGAACCGAGGATGATGTTCAAAGACGTCCAGGACCACCAGAACAGAGGGTGGGGCAGGGCACACCCGGCAAACCAGACCATGGGGGGGGGGGACGATTTCCCCTAAATTCTCCTTCCAAATTTTTCCTCTCACTGTGTCCTCAGGGCCTCGTGGTTGATATACACAATATATATATATAATATATATATAAAACACAGATTAAGGAAAGGAAGATAGAAATATGAAATCTGTATAAATGTGTTTACTCCATTAAAATGTCTGAAGGATTTTTTTTTTAATTTTTTTGTCTGTCGGTTTTTCTTAGAAACTGTTATGGGGGGAGGGAGGGCACAGATGGAGGAGAAACTCCGACGGACAAAATGAGCTTATTGCAAGTTATAGCTTCTACTCTAAACCCACCCCAACCCCTCGAAAAAGGAAGAGAGAAAGAGAAAGGGAGAGGGAAGAAAGAGGGAGGGGGAGGGGGAGAGAGAGACATGGGGGGAGAAAAAGAGGAGAAAGAGGGAGAAAGAAGAAAAAGACAGAGGAGAGAGAAAAGAGGAGGAAGAGACAGAGAGGAGAAAGACAAAGACAGAGAGAGAAGAAAGTGAGAGGAGAGAGAAAGAGAGACAAAGAGAGAGAGAGGGAGAGAAGGAGGGAGGGGGGGGGGTAGAGGGAGACAGGGGGGGAGAAAAAGAGACAGAGAGAGAAGAAAAAGACAGAGAGAGAAGAGAAAAAGAAGAGAGAGGAAGGAGAGGAAAAAGAGACAGAGGAGAAAGACAAAGAGAGAGAAGAAAGTGAGAGGAGAGAGACAAAGAGAGAAAGAGAGAGAAAGAGGAGACCTCCACCGAGTTCATTCTCAGCATTGCATTAAAAATAAATCACAGTATATACCTGCGGGCTCTATTTACAGAAATATAACGTCTGCTCCCTTCCTCAGAGACAGATTACTTGAAGCAATAGAAATCGGTAGATTCATTTGCATTTGCAAAAAAAAAAAAAGAAAAGGAAAGGAAAGGAAAGAAAGAAACAACAGGGTCCTTAATAAAAAGGCCCTGCTTCAATGGTGAGCAGAGGAGGGGGTGCTGAACTGTGGTCTGGTGGAGGGACTTGTTAGCTTTTCTCTCTGGGACCTGGGGGAGACTCAAGCCAGCACTGAGGCTAAGAACTGGAAAGGGAGACAGAGACTGGGGTAAGAGAAGGGGAGGTGGCTTTGTCTCCTCCAGAGAGGGCAGTGAGGGTCAGCCTTTTTTTCTTTAGAAAGAACCTCCCAGAGCCTCATCTGAAGGCCTCCGGGGGCCAGTGGCTTCAGATGGGGATCTGGGTCAGTGCAGCAGGTCTGGCTAGGGAGACCGTGGGCAGCTGCCTCCCTTAAAAACAAACAGCCGCCCCTCCCTCCTTTCTAGGCTCTTGCCTCTGACTCTTGGCTTCCAGTGAGGACAGGAAGAAGGAACCAAGATAACAAGTAGCCCTATCCCTCCTAAAGTTTACCAAAATGTGCATGTGCCCAAGGGCTGCTTCTACCTTCATCCCGGTACTGTCCCCGCCGAAAAGAAAAACCCTCACAGTCCTGGAGCCCAGATCTAGGAGATCCCAGATGGTCCATCGGAGCAGCCATGACCTTACTTGCTCAGGGTTTCAAGGGACAATAAAGCCAGAGATGGAGGCTAGAAATCAGGAAAACCCCTATGACCCAAGGGGAAAGACCATAGTGGGAAGGAGATAGGCCTGGAGCTCCCCCAGGGTTGTGGACTCAGGATACATTTATTTGGGTGTTTTGGTAGAGCACTGAGTAGAGAAGGTGGTGAATAGAGGCTGGGGAAAGGAAGGAAATTGGGGAGCAGATCAGGAGTATGGGACCAGGTCCACAGTCAGGGACCCCTGTTTCCTTCCCCAAAGTCTTAATTGGGTCAGGGGGTGTGAGGTGGTAGAATAAATTAAAAACTTGAGTCTCAAATAAAACAATGAAAATACTTAAAAAAAAAAAAAGAGGAATTGAGAGGTATTTCTACCCCTTCCCTCCCCAACCCACAGTCATCAGCAAGGGACTGAGGTGGCCAGTGCCTGCCTCTGTTTCCTTTCCATGCCCACGTATCCCAAAGAGGTTTTGGATTGGACCTTCTAACGGCCCTATAGGTCATGTACTGAGCTCGCCCTATTCCTAGTAGATCTTCTCCAACTCCCTGCTCTACCCCAAGTATCTGCTCCTGAACCAGCGGGCCAATAGCATCTATGACCCTCCTAGGGCACAGGCCTCCCCCATGATCTCAGCGACAAAAGTCTTTAATCAGCTCTGTCCAGGCGGCATTCAGTCTGGTGGGAAGACAAGGGCTAGACAGTTAAGTTCAGGGCGAGGAGATGGGGGCGAAAGGGATAGAACCAAAGTGTGTGGACCCTCCCCACCGCCACCCCCTGCCCCCTGCTCTCTCTGGTGCTTCTGAAATGACAGCTTGCCTGCCGTCTTTGGGGTAGGGCGATGTAGAGGGGACAAGGAGGAGCAGTAGTTTGGGTGGCGATGACCATCCTGGTCCAGCGGCGGCCTCTTCTATCTCTGTGAAGGTCCCCTAGGCAGGTCAGAGGTCTGAGGGTCAGGGAGGCAGGGATGACAGCACCAAATGGAAACAAGAAGGACGTTCTCTATTTGGTCTAAGAGCAGCTCTCGTTCCCATGCCCCAGGGCTGGGGAGCAGCTGCTACTGCCCTGGAGAGGCTCCCTGGAGCCTAAATCTTCAAGGACTGGAGGTCACCTTCCTGGGCGGCCCTGAACTCCGTCCCTGGCAGACACCATCTGCTTCCTCCTCAGTCCTCTCTGTGTGGTCCCGAAGGTGGAAGTCTGGCTTGGCGGCTTCAGGGCCTTCCTCTCCGGCCTCCCGAAGGAGGGGCAGACAGGGTCTGAGAGGGGTTTCTGAACAGGTGGCAAGGAGTAAAGGGAACAGCAGGGCTGCCCCCATCCCCCTAGGGTTCCCCGTCTTCCCTGGCTCCACCTAGAACAATACCGATCCCTCGGTGCCTGGTGGTGGGAGGGCCGGGGGGCTAGGAGGTGAAGATGGTCCAAAAGACGGGCACCACAGAGAGGAAGAGCTGGGACATCCTGAGGCTGCTGCAGGAGTTATTGCTGGTGAAGATGGGCTCTGGAGACTCGTACAGAGAATCGTCTGTCAGGGAACAAAGGCACAGGTCATCACTGTCCCTTCCCAAGTCTGGGGGCTGTCCCACCCTGCCTTTCACCTCAGGAGCCATCTGGGCTCGAGCACCCAAATTCAGATCCGAACCTCATCCGTGACCATGCCTGGCACCTGACAACCTCTACTGTACTCCAGGCCCCAATGCTGACCCCTAACCCAGAGCCTGCCCCAGGTCCCGACAATGACCCCTTACTCCCCTCTGGCCCTGGCTATAACCTCAACTTGATTCCTAACATAGACCCTGCCAAAGAGAGGGGAGAGAGACAGAGGGAAGGGGGGATAGAAACAGAGAGACAGAGAGAAAGGGAGAGAAAGGGAGGAGAGACAGAAACAGAGAGAGAGAAAGGGG